ACTACAAACTTCTTACAAACTATTTTTCATTTCTAGTAATTTTCCAAAATGTATTCACTTGTATCGATTTATTTACATGTTTTTTTGAACTTAGTTTTCACATCCTTGTTAATAATAGTGGAGTAAGTAATAATACTTATGAAGTGTAATGACTTACAATCAGGTAGACGTCTCAGCAACAATGTGTTTAATACGTTTATGGATACATTCTTTTTTTTTCTAGTCTGGTTTTTACTTTATTTCAGTTGAAAGAAAAACAGCATAGTTTTTTTTCAAGTTTCATTCTACTTGACATAATGCACCTAATATGATTTTAGAGTGATGGATTATTAATAAGACATATTTCAATGCTAGAATACCAGTAATGCAGACTTCAAGCTCTGCACTAATGCTACGAACCAAAAATGTGCAGCAGCGCGTCACGTCTGAAAATGTCTGTGGGAAAAGTGCTGATATCACCGTTCAGCTTTATTGCACAGTATGAAAGCGAAAGTTTTATTATAGAAACACTGACAAATCAGCCAAAGAACGATGGTTTTATTTTTAACAGCATATGAGCCGTTAATGCCATTACACAGGTGATGCAAATACGAGACAGTTCAGGTTTGTCAGTAACCACAGATGAAAGTTATGCCTGCTGGAAACAAACAAAGGATTATGCAGCTCTATACAATATGTAGTATACATCTCAAGCAGTGGGACCAGAGTGCACTGCTTTAAAAAAAAAGCAGGTTCCTATGAAAACTCCAAGCAATCCAAGACTCAGGCCAAATCCACAGAAGACAGCTGGACCTTTGCTGATCTCATCTGTTTCAACCTCTGCAGAGAACAGCAGAAAGAAATGATGAATTCTAAACATTAAATCGTATTATATGCGCTAAAATATCTGAAGCTTCTTTGTTCTCACCCCAAAACTTGGTCTGAGGCTCATCCATTGCTTCATGTTCCACAGTGCAACTGTAGATGTCTCCTTTCTCTGGCACAAAGTTGAGGTAGGACAAAACATAAGCGGTCCCATCAGGATTGGACAAAGTTTTGATGAAAGGGTCTTCCATTGTTACTTCTACATCATTCTTGGTCCACTTAATGTTGATCAAAGGAGGAAAAAAGCGATTGATGAAGCAGATGAGGGTATTATCTTCCCCTGTTATCACTTCATCTCTGGGGTAGATGATGAATTCTGGTGGCTCTAAATTAAATGAACACATGATTTGCTTAAATTCAATTTTCTGGTTTAAAAAAAAAA